TCATGTATAGTAATTCTTTCCTTAAAATCTAGAGTAGGAGATAGTACAGGCTACCAGTTCAGTAGGGTGACTCCCATTTCTTATTTTTTATATAATCTAGGATTTATGATATAAACTGGTAATCTTTTATTTTAAGATTTGTGGAAGTCTACATAACCACCTGCGCTGGCTTAACAGGCAAAACACCTTAAAACATTTAGTGATGTTACCATGTCTGTCAGTCATATGTAAGTTTGATTGGTACACAGATACATTGATACCTTGCCCATTTTAAACCATGCATAACTGGTAACTGACGTATAGAAAAAAGAAATTAAAGGCGCCTTCCTGTTTGTTTTCTACAGTGACATGCAATATATTGACGTACATACAATACACATACACTTGACAGCTGAGCTGGTGATGTGTAACTATGATTGTATGCACTGCATGGCGCTGTTGTGTTGAAATACCAAACAATGGACTAGGTTTATCTCAGTGAGTTAATCAGTCTCAGGCACCCCGTGTGGCTAGCAAACGTAGAACAAATACATAAGTATTGATTCCAATTTCATGCTTCTTGTCTCAGGACAGTGTTTTGGACTGAAGCAGTAGTACATCTGTGAAATACAGCAGTTATAGAGATTACACTGTGGTGCAGATCCCAGAAAGTAGCCGCCATGCTCCCAGTTTACTGTGCGTACATTTCATGGTGTGGAACGACCAGTTTATGACATCAGAGAACCCGCCTGAGCAGGGTTAAAGCGAATTAGTGTATATCTTGATGTTGTGTGTGTAATGAACGTCACCATGAATGTCAGTCCCGCATCCTGGGACTATGTCCGATTAAACGCTAATGATTCCTCCCTCCCTAGTTCCGTATAGATCTCGAGAACACTATAGCTCCAGCGTTGAATCCTAGAATCATCTAGTATCTCTTGAACCCCTGAATCTTCTACGTATTCTTTGGACCATACAATTCTCTAGATCGCTCTTGGGCCAAGAACTGTCCCGCTCCTATTTGTCCTCATTATGGTCCGCATCGTACATCCGCGGGTCCCTCTTGTTCCCCTAGGTCCCGCAATAGCGCGGTCCCTTCCGGTGCCTGGACACCCTTCATACAGACGGCAGCAACACTCCACTCGCTGAACCTGACAGCCGTCAAAGTGCACGTGGTCAAAATTGGCGACAACTGTGTCAAGAGTGTTGTTAAAGGCACATTCTAGGGCCTGGTTCTGATTTCCACTACAGGGTACCTTCAAACGCTGGTGTTGTTAGCCGTCTGGAGATGTTTAGATCTGCCACACAGACGGTGGCGAAATGGAAAGAACTTTCATGGCCTTGGTCAGTCCTCGAGCTGACATCAATAACGCCAATCTTGAGCCAACATGTTCACATCTAAATGAAAGTAATATGTGGTCGCGAAAACAAAGGCAGGCATGTGGTGGAAAATGAAAATTTAGTTAGTTGCAGATAGGTTGACTATGTCGAGGAATGAGCCTTGAATTCCATGTCTATTATTATTCTCCTGTCAAATATGGTTGTCGTCCAGTATTAAAACACATGTACCGTACATGCAAAATATCATTGTGTAGAAGGTGTTGAGACTGACACGGTTGTCTCCCTGCTGTGACTGACATGCATCACGACATGTAGCCAGTTATAAAGACATGTAGTGCCAATAGTGTAGTTATCAAACTGCAGATGGGGAATTGAATAGGTTCGGGGTGGATGTTCGAACTTCGATGATGAATATTTTGAGAATTTTGTGTCGTAGGTAAAAAAATAATCACATCACTGATCTCAAAGCCAGATATTTACAACTGATCATTTCGTGATCGTCAAACATTTTCAAAAAAAAACCCTTGCAAATATAAAAAGGAGAGACGTATCTTGTATTTCTTGATAATTCGCCCTACTGTCTCGTTTAAAACACCTACATCTAAATAAAGAATATATATGCCATCTTTGTCATTTATGCGAAAAGTTCAGATGAGGTTTAGCAGCTCTAGTGAAGCCAATTAGCCCGAGGTTTGTAATCAAGTTGAATCCGGGATTTGAAGTCACAACTAGTATATGTAATGGAGATAACACTGCTCGTAAACACTTCGCTGTGGAGCTTGTTTCTCAACGGTGCCAGATCTCTGCGAGAAAATGTTTGGTTCGTGTCCAAAACAACAAAGAAATAGTGATTTTCGGTATAGATATATATTCGTGCTTGGTAAACGGATGATCTACTTTGTGGGGATGTCAGGCGCACACGACATGACCCTGTGACCTAACTACGGCTAAGTGCTGTTCCCCGCAGCGTGAAAGCATATCCTGATTATTGAAGACGTGCACCAATGTGTAGGAGTGGGACATGTCTGCCTCGAGATGAACACGCATCCATCACATAACACACGTGTTGCCGCCGTTGTCGTGGGGTCACGATGTCGTTGAAGGATGTAATTGCTACATCCCCGCCGTGATGTTGACGTACGCAGGGCTTACTGCTTTAACATCACATACATGGAAAGACCAACGTAACAGGAGATGGCTTATGAGCCATTTCTAGACTCTTGCAACCTACAACACAGCACCATCTCATGTCAGTTATATCTTTAAACTCTTCGGCCGTCCATCTGGTTGCGTTGTTGTTGCTGAAACTATGCGGATGTTTAGGCTGCGTTTGATGGCATTATCATACCAGAGACATCACTTCACCCACAGGATAACACCAAAACACACAGTGATAACAAATGTATACATTCTTGTCTGTCCCCTACCTTTTCCTTCGGTCCAATATAGATTTAGAATGAAGTTGTAGGCGGTGGGAGGATCCCTCCCCGACAGATGTACCTGGCGCTGGAGTACAGCATCACGCCACGTGTATTTCCTGGTGCGATTCTTATTATATGTCATCGTTCGTTTCCGGAGATTCAAACGAAATATAAACATTCCTGTAACCCAGGCCATTTAGTGTGAGTCGCACTGATTGAGAGAGGCATTCAGATAGCGAATGGCTAGTGTTCAGTTATTGTGGATCGGCAAAGCGTCATTGCTCGTGATTAGCTTGTGTAACAGTAAACTTTCTTTATCTCTGAACCTACTGGTATATCCACATGCTGGGCTGTCATATTTAAATAAGGTTTCTCGTAGCGAGGCGTCGAAATTAACCATCGAGAAAGTATCACGATCCAAATCTTGAAGCCGAACCTTAGAAAACATAATTTTGATGTTTCACGGAAAGCGAGTTTCACATAAAGTGACAAGTTGTACAAGTAACAACAACTTAGAATGAGAGCACATCTCCAGATCTAATGTGGAAAACATGGGTAAATGACGGAAAGCCAGATCGTGAAGTTCAAGTGAGCTAAAACATAAATCGCGGAAATCGAAATCTGGAAATTATATGTGTAACGGAATCGAGGTCAAGAAGTTGATACTAGTGTGTGCAAAGCATTAACCATTAATGTTCTGGAAAACGCCTCAAACGACTTATAGATTACATATATCGAACATGATAGTAGTCATGCACTGTTGAGTATGTGCTAGACTTGCACAAGTCTCTGAAGCAATTTACGTTCAATCATCATTTCTTGATTATATTACCAATAAGAACACATTTTCTTTGGAAAAGAATGATGTCTTTGTACTGCCCGCTTATGTAGACTTCCCTATCATAAAGACAGAAATACTATACATCCACAGACATATAATTCAGTACAGCCTTGGAGGAAGGCTAGGCATGTGCCCCTGTTTAATTACCCACGCTTTTAATGACAACTATGTATGTTTCATATTATCTACAACATTTCCAAAGACAATTGCCTGACAGGCTTTGATGCACCTACTCGGGGTACAGATGTCATCTATCAAATGTTTATATGTAAACAGATTAGAAAACCCGACAAATTACGAGAAGATTAATGGGAAAGATTATTTTTGGCACCACCAACGAGGGCCTCGAGAAAACATCCACGTGGCCTTGTAGAACATATATATTTATGGCAAGATAATGATTGCATATGTCAGTGAACGCGGTCAAAGATTTCAGTAATTCTGATAGATGATTTAATGGCCGAAAGCAGAGTTGTTGAAACAAAATAACCCTTTCCAGAGAAACAGAGGTGTAATATTATATTTAAGGTGCTGGAATCTTTCCTAGAAAAATAACCTGGCCCGTGAAAAGCTGAAAAAAACACTTTGCTCACGGTGTAGGCAAAAAATATATTGCCAGATGAAAAAGAAATTCTCCTGTTATAGAGCTCTCCCTTAACGCCAACCCTCCCCAAGGTTGAATTATCGGCCCATAATCGTTTGACAGGAGTTTACCTCGTCTTGCTGTTGAAATATTAGCAGCTTTAGCTCGCAACGGAAAACTTGCAGATTGGAAAACTAATGGTTCTGATCTTAATCAAGTTCTGATTACCTGCGCTCAATATCAAAATGGCGAACTTCCGTTTCCGGTCGTAGCAAACATTGTGTACCGACACGACTTGTGCTTCTCCAGCAAATGTTGGCCATCTCCTCTCACCAGCTACAGAAGGGGACCCTCACGTGCACTGTGCCATCTCCAAACATTAGTCTTCAGCGTCCTGCAAAACTCGCTCCATGTTATCAGACATTTTCAGCGCTTTTCAGTCCTCTCCGATAAAATAAGATACGACATTTTGGGATTATTTATAATGATGTGCGTTTGCGTGTTGAGCGCGCGTTTAGCCACCTGCTGAGATTTAGAGATAGGAAAGTTTCACATGAAAATTTGACCCAGTCGTATGAATAATATCTTTAGAAAACGAAGTTATCGTGTTTCCCTAACCATTTGTGGAGCATTACACTGGTAGATCAGTTTAAGACACGGGCAAGTAACACTGACAAGGAGTTTTTTCACTGTGATTGAATCTGATTATAACCATAGAAAAAACTTTATACACCAATTTAAGTCTCCTGAATCGAGTACGGTTTCAAATACTTTGCATACTAAATAAATCCACCTGTTTACTCCAGCTGTAACGTTCTTTTTTTGTGTGTTTCAGGGGAGGTGAATGACGAGGCCATGTTCATCTTTAACTTATCATCAATAGCACCAACAGAAAAAGTTTTGAGTGCGGAAGTGCATTTATATAAAAGAAGGTCGAAACCTTGGCACAAAAAGACAGATGTTGATGTGCATATATATGAAATAGCTCCACATTATTTAAGCCAAAATGGCAAAATAACAATGAGAAACTCAGCATATGGCTGGCAGTGGTATGACGTTACGGACGCTGTGCTTAGTTGCTTAGCAGCAAGGCGGCCACGCCCTCATCTTTTTGCCCTAAGCTTCAAAACAGAAAAATCAAATGGTAAAGAGAGGACAGTTGCATTAAAAAGATTTGTCCGGCATCATTCTATGCCGTTTCTTATTGTGTATTCGAATGAAACACGGAGCATTAATCTGGACCAGTTGGATAAACTTGCAGAGTCACTTAAACACAAGGAGAACCAGAGACACAGCGTGATACATTCTACAGTTGCCCCAGGTAACAGGTCTCCGCTTTTGGATTCATTGTCTGGAACCGGAAGTCCGCGCCAAGAGTCTGCAGTCCGAGCCAAGAGGTCCATTTTCAACAACGAGATCCCGGAGGACGCGGCCGATTATAACCGCTTCCACAACAAGTTCAACATTCCACAAACACATCCTGGTATCCTGCAGGCTAGGAAGGAGACGCACACGAAGCTGACGGACAATCAGCTTATCCCTTACCCCTCCGAGAAGCGCAAAAAGCGGAAGCGGAAACACAGAAGGCGCAACCGGAAGAAGAACAAGAAGCCCAATAAGCGGCGTTTGAAGCTTCCGGAAGAATGGGAGGATTACCATGACAACAAAGCCAGCACTGACAACAACCCCAGTAATGTGTGTGGTAAACGAAAACTAATTGTGGATTTCGCTGATATCGGTTGGGGAGAGTGGATTATATCCCCCAAATCCTTTGAAGCTCACTACTGTGCCGGTATCTGCCCCTTCCCCCTAACAAAGGTATGTTACCAGTTTAACCTTTCACATTGTTTTTACATCTCATCTCTGCCATCAGCAATCAGAATATGATAGGCACCACAGGGAAATGTGAGGGGCTCTGTCATTTGGCCATTATGTGTAAATAGTTCTTGGCCGATGTGTACTAGAGCCTTAAGCATGTATCAGAAGATCATATGGTTTGTATAACATGACGCATGTTCATGCTGGTTGCCTCGGTCTCTGTGTGAATTCAGAGCAAGGTTGGCTGGAAAGGCGGGCGTTGAACTTATCCAGTAAAGAACGGGTGTATGTCGACACGGGAGGCCCTCTGGTTATTGGTGCCTCTATTCCCGGTGGATCTATACCATCAATGGTCAAACAAGGATCCGTTGGTTGGTTCGGATCCTACGTTAGGTCTCATTATGATCCTTGGTCTGTGAGCACCATGCCCGTGGACATAAGCTTCCTCCCATGTATTACTGTCTTGTCGTAATATAACTGAAACTGTGTTCAAATGGATAGAAGACAAAACCTTAATGCTATTTCGGAAGTTTACATAAAGTTTTGACCTTGATACGGGTATTGGTGACAGATATTGGTCCAGATGAAAGCACATCTGTGAAGATGAAAGTCTTGATGTTATGCCAAGTTTGTATGAGAGCCGTACCAGTTATCTAAATCAGTATTTGAGTCTGATGTGTGGCATGGGCCTAGATCAAAGCCTTACCTGTGATCAAAATGGATACCGAAGTTTAATCTGTTTTAAGCCTTGCCTGTGATATGTATGTATAGTAGATCTGTGATGGGGGTCTAGATCAAAGCCTTACCTGTGATCAAACGTTGCATTAAAAGTTTAATCTGTAAAGAGGATCAATAAAAAAGCCTTAATTCTGGTCTAACTGCATATTGAAGTTTTGATCTGTGTGGTCTATCTTGATCAAAGCCTTGCCTTTGACCTAAATCCACATTAGAGACTAGATGCTAGTCTAATCACTGTAAATTGAAGTCTACATACAACATGTGTAGGTTAAGATGTTGGACTTTTGACAGATCTCGGGAACGTGTTGATGAGAACAACAGTGCACGCCCTATCTGCAAATGTGCCTCCTGCAAATGACAATGCCCTGCACGCAATGCACCTCTGTGTGCGGAAGACCGTTGTCGCACCTATATGCAAGCCTTTGATCGTAAATTACAGACACTTGTGGTGGCACCATTCTCTTATTGTTTTTGGAACTGAGGGATGCTCCGCAGACTGCTATTGTCGTAAACTTATTCCTGGCTGTTGTGTACATGTAGTGGGTAGTGCAGAAGTCTATATTAATCCTAGAGAAGTGAGCTCACATACAGTAACGCACTTGGCTGAAGTCAGGATGTCTGTTGAAACTTGAAAATAAAGAACGCTGCCCATTGATACTTGATTACATCTCAAAGATGGTCAGGGCAACGCGTATGATGACGAGTATGTGAGTGAGTGAGGGTGTTGGAGTAACACCGCTTTGAACAATATTTCATCCAGTGTATGCCGGCTTAATGGGGGAACAAAGCCCGAAGTTATAACAGATTGTGACCAAGCACATTTGGACGAGCGGCAGGGACACGCTGCATTGTTAGCTGTTGTAGATATTGACGTCAGTTCAAGATAGTCATCGAGTCATACATAAAGGCAGGAGGACTTAATGGAACACGTGTCCTTAATCTTGTCACATTGAATTCTCTCTCGGCTCACTACATCTTGATTAAACGCTGGACTAACCATTGAATAAACAGTATAGCCTTAAATACGGCCCATGGGCTTTGTCTCAAACTCGATAACTAGCATGGAACGTTTAAATTGTATGTAGTAGGTATGATTATGTACCAATTGTGATTTTGACATTTTGCTTTGTAGAGGTATTACTAACACTTTGTAAGTATTCCGGGACATTTTGTTGTTGTGGTAATGCACAGATTACTTTTTAGTCTATCACCTGTTATTATTTTAACCCGACATATAGCTGGAATATTGCTGAGTGCGGCGTAAAACGCAACTCATCTATTATTTTGACACCAAGCTGTAATGTTAAGATCATATAACACAATTCTCCCTTAGTAAAAGTTACCAAGGCCAGTTAGTAGTGACCATACCCGACCTTCCTGGGAACCATCAAGTGTATCAGGACAGTGCCTCCACTGGAGTTATATCCGACCTTCCAGGGAGCCCTCAAGTCTATCAGGACAGTGCCTCCACTGGAGTTATAGTGACCCGACCTTCCATGGAGCCCTCATGTCTATCAAGACAGTGCATCCACTGGAGTTATACCCGACCTTCCAGGGAGCCCACAAGTCTACCAGGACGGTGCCTCCACTGGAGTTATACCCGATCTTCCTTGGAGCCCTCAAGTCTATCAGGACAGTGCCTCCACTGGTGTTATATCCGACCTTCCTTGGAGCCTTCAAGACTATCAGGACAGTATCTCCACTGAAGTTATACCCGACCTTCCAGGGAACCATCAAGTCTACCAGGACGGTGCCTCATATATGGGGCTATACCCAACCTTCCAGGGATTCCTCAAGCCTACCATGCATGTCATTACACACGACCTATCTTCCCATGTAGTGTTATATATGTATTATGCCTCTTTCAACAGCAGTTGTAATCTTTGATATGATCTCATGAAGATCCAGTCATATGACCTCTGTGTCGACGTATTTTCACGCTTTCTAAATTGTTTATTACTTTCACTGTGGGGGTTGTTAATCTCTAAGTTGCTATCGCATGTCTGAATTTACGTCATTGGCTTTATTTCGAAATAATCGTATATTGCCATAATGTTATATATTCAAGGTGTAAGTGGGCCTCCCTGACGTCTGATTGGGTTGTTCTGAATCTATGTGTCATGACACCATGTGCAGAAAAGGTGTCAAAAGATATTGTCCTGAATCTGTTTGCGCCTCCTCTCTTGTTGCCATGGCAATAGCTTTCTCTAAATACTGGTGTCTAAGGTGTTTTTCTGAATCTCTCTGCACCACCTCTGGTCATGACACAGAGGCTCCAGCAGGCTCCAGAAGGATTCAACGGGATCAAGCCGCAAAACGTTCATGTCAAACACAGTCTGTACAATATCCGGGCCAGGGTCTCCGGTTCCCTGTCCTATACTATATCGGTTCCCAGACCCCAACTATATCGGTTCCCAGACCCCAACTATATCGGTTCCCAGACCCCAACTATATCGGTTCCCAGTCCCATACTATATCGGTTCCCAGTCCTATACTATATCGGTTCCCAGTCCCATACTATATCGGTTCCCAGTCCTATACTATATCGGTTCCCAGTCCATACTATATCGGTTCCCAGACCCAAACTATATCGGTTCCCAGTCCTATACTATATCGGTTCCCATTCCTATACTATATCGGTTCCCATTCCTATACTATATCGGTTCCCAGTCCTATACTATATCGGTTTCCATTCCTATACTATATCGGTTCCCAGTCCTATACTATATCAGTCCTATACTATATCGGTTCCCAGTCCTATACTATATCGGTTCCCAGTCCTATACTATATCGGTTCCCAGACCCAAACTATATTGGTTCCCAGTCCTATACTATATCGGTTCCCATTCCTATACTATATCGGCTCCCAGTCCTATACTATATTGGTTCCCAGTCCTATATTATATCGGTTCCCATTCCTATACTATACGGTTCCCATTCCTATCGGTTCCCATTCCTATACTATATCGGTTCCCATTCCTATACTATATCGGTTCCCATTCCTATACTATATCGGTTCCCAGTCCTATACTATATCGGTTCCCAGACCCAAACTATATCGGTTCCCAGTCCTATACTATATCGGTTCCCAGACCCAAACTATATCGTTTCCCAGTCCTATACTATATCGGTTCCCAGTCCCATACTATATTGGTTCCAAGACCCAAACTATATCGGTTCCCATTCCTATACTATATCGGTTCCCAGGCCTATACTATATCGGTTCCCAGTCCTATACTATATCGGTTCCCCAGACCCAAACTATATCGGTTCCCAGTCCTATACTATATCGGTTCCCAGTCCCAAACTATATCGGTTCCCATTCCTATACTATATCGTTTCCCAGTCCTATACTATATCGTTTCCCATTCCTATACTATATCGGTTCCCAGACCCAAACTATATCGGTTCCCAGTCCTATACTATATCGGTTCCCAGCCCATACTATATTGGTTCCCAGACCCAAACTATATCGGTTCCCAGACCCAAACTATATCGGTTCCCAGACCCAAACTATATCGGTTCCCAGTCCCATACTATATCGGTTCCCAGTCCATACTATATCGGTTCCCAGACCCAAACTATATCGGTTCCCAGTCCTATACTATATCGGTTCCCAGCCCATACTATATCGGTTCCCAGACCCAAACTATATCGGTTCCCAGTCCCATACTATATCGGTTCCAAGCCCAAACTATATCGGTTCCCAGCCCATACTATATTGGTTCCCAGACCCAAACTATATCCATTCCCAGTCCTATACTATATCGGTTCCCAGCCCATACTATATTGGTTCCCAGTCCTATATGGGCCCCCAGTTCCACACTACATCCATTCCTAGTCTCATACACCATCCTGACAGTGCTGACAAATAGCGGTTTGGGAGTTAATAGGCGTATTAGAATGTTATGTATAAGCGTAATTAAGGACATTCGATAGGTAATGGCAAAAGGTTGCAGATTACAGTGTTCTTCAAGCAAGGCAATTAGTAGGGATGCACCGGTGCTTGTTTTGATTAAGACCAGTTTATTGTAAGTGGTTGTCATGCCGGAGTTTAATGGACTCCGACTTCTTGAATTAGTAGCTGTCTGCTACTGTCAGGGTAATGAAGGGCGCACAGAGACACACTGAAGAAACACTGCCGTCAAGAGGACGCTTGCTTAATATTCCATGTATTTGACTTCTCTGCGTCAATTCGGAAAGTGTGTTAGTTTATACTTGTAATGTAAATGTTATGAATGAGTCAAAAAGGATTTTTAAAC